ACCACCTTTCTGAGAGGTCTATGCTAGAAGATGGCATACTATCCAAAGATGACTTCCATGCATCTTCTAAATGTACCAAGATTCTAGATCCCACATCCATTAATGATGAGACTTCAGAGAACTCCACAGTGTTCCGGGATGACTATCCCCCTGGGCTTTTTGCCTTTGCCATGTTGGAACTTGTTTCTTATGTTGGCATTTGTGAGTCATTTTGTTCTTACTGAGGTGACAGTGGTCTCTGCACACATTATGCTAACTTAATGGACCGCCACTCCATCTGTGGGCCCATCTGTAGTCTTAAACCTATTCCTGAACTCCTCACTGTGATCCAATAATAGACACCATTTGTCACAACAGTCCTGTAGTTAGATACTAAACCTTATATTTTGAAAGATGAGTCCAATCCTCTGAAACATTGAGTAGTTTATCCAAACACTCCAGGATAGCTAGGACTTTGACTTGAAGCCATTTTCTCCCAGATGGTCAAGAACACTGTCAGATCTTCCTGGATCTTCAATTCTTGAATCTGAGATAAGAATATAGCCCTGGTGCCAGGTGGTGGCAGCATACACTTTTAATCCCAGCTCTTAGGAGGCAGAAGCAGGCAGATCTCTGTGAGTTCAAGGTCAGTCTGATCTACAGAGTGAATTCCAAGACAGCCACAGCCACACAGAGAAACCCTGTCTTGAAAAACAATATTACGTATGTGTGTGTATTGTGTGTGTGTGTGTGTGTGTGTTATGTGGTGCTGGGCTCCAGGTAACTAAAGATGTGTATGTAAAAATGTGGAAATTGGGAATATTCTTGAACAAGGTAACAATGCATGGCAGATGCTGGGTGAACCAGAAGAAGATGGCGTGCGGTAGGTTTGATCAACAATATTCTCCATATTTGTTTCCTCATCTTCCCTCCCAGGTAATGAGATTGTGGGTCTCGTCTGAAAGAAAATAGTTCCCATAATGATAGAACCAGATGCATAAACTGAGATGTTCCTGGCTGGACTTGTAAACTGAGTTTGTAAAACACACTCACTGGTTAATAACTGAAACAGGGAAGGACGCCGTCGGTTCTCGGCCTGTGTGTGAGCAGTCATTCTGGCACGTGTGCGTTGCCCTGGGAACAGGAAGAAGTAGCTTCTACAAGGCAGAGATCGGGGTGGACTAGCTGCCTGTCCATAGCCACCCTGGCTTCCCTGAAACTTGCGGTTGGCCTCACATGCATAGACTGATGTCATAGGTCCCCCTGCCCTCCCCCATTCACATCCTGAAGGACAGGCAGGCATGCTAAGCCTTGAGGTTCAGGAAGCCTGTCTTTGGCACTCACAATACTGTATGCTCTCTTGTTGCTGGCTCCTATAGCATTGCTTTAGAAATAGGAACAGGGAAAGATAACCACAGTTTAGGTCTGAGATTTGCTACTGACTTATCATCTCAGTGTGCATGCCCCAGCCGTCCACGGTGCTCTAGCCATCCGGGGTGGCCCCATGTGTTTCCAAATACACCTCCCAAAGTGGGTCGATGTTAATAATAAAATAGCCTAAGTTTAAAAGCAAAACGTCACAGTGCAAAACCAAATACACGGTCTGCGGGCAGGAAGGCCTCTCCTTGACTTGAGGCTCTTAACAAAGATGACCCTGCTGTGCGGCAGTAGGCCACCGTCGCCATGACGGACCTCTCTTCCTATGCAGACTGAAGGAGGCTTCTGAACCCCATCTTTCTCTCCCAAAGCCGCCAGAGGTTGGGGATATCTTCATGGCTTTCTGATAAGAAAGTCCAGCCGCAGCCTCCTGCTAAGCCCAGGCACACAGCTACCCTGTCTATACCACGCTGAACCTTTGAAAGAAGCCCCAGTGACTCTCAGGCCTCCCCTGCACAGCTCGAAGTCCCGCTAGAAACACTGACCACTCACGGAGGACGCAACGCGGGAGCCGGGAAATCATGGGCTGTGATCTGTCTTTTCCTTGTTCTCTCCCACATCAGCCCCAGCTGTTTATAAATGTTTCTCAGGAGAGGCCCCCCCAGTTGCGAGCTAAAGACGTCGTGTTGAGAACATTCACAGTAAGTCAAGTTTCCGGGTGCCCACCTGGAGCACTCTGGAAGCAGCTAGGAACACGGCTCTCTTACGGCGTCGGTTCAGCAGGCCACCACATCAACTTGAACGTAGCGCGCCTCTTTTATTTTCTAGTATGCGTGAAAATATAGAATGCTGGAAAAATTAGGAATATTCCTTAGCCAGGTGGAGGCGGTGCACACCTTCACTTCCAGCACTCAGGAGGCAGAGGCAGGTGGGTCTCTGAGTTCAGTGCCAGCCTGGTCTACAAAGGGAATTCCAGGACAGCCGGGACTATTGCTCAAAGAAACCCTGTCTCAACAAAACAAAATAACATTCCTCAACAAAAAACTTACAATGAAAACGTGGAGTCAGGAAAGAGAGGTTACTTAGTTTCCTGATGCTGCCAGTTTGTACTCTCAAGTACAGTTATCCAGGAAGGAGTTATCAAGTCCTTGGGATTATTTTATCGTCCACACCTCTGCTAAAAACTGCAGCGATGGCTTGACACCCACTGTCTTAAATGCCTTCCCCATGCTTCTGCAGCTATCACCAGCCACACAGGTGGGCAGATGAATGTTCAGGCTGGGGGATGTGCGAGCATTCATCCCCTCTCTAGATGTTTCGTGTCTAGTGCTGTCTCTACTGGAAACACTCCCCTCACACCCTGAAGGAACCCCCGGCCCGAAGCCTATCTGTTGCCGAGAGCCCCCTGAAGATCTTGCTTCCCAGGTCTGACCTGATACAAGTCCCTTAACTTCCGCAACCCTAGAACACGGCGATGGCTGTTTTAAATCTCACGCACACATGTGTGCCCGTGCAAGAGTTGTGTGCACAAGTGCAGATCCCCACGGAGGCCAGAAGAGGGCATCAGATCCCCAGGAGCTGGCTTTACAGGCCGTTGTGGCCCAGGGGTACGGATGCTAGGAACTCGGCTGTGGTTGTCCGCAAGAGCAGCGTGCACGGTTGAGCTACTGAGCCCTCTCTCCAGCCCCTGCTGTTGTGTTGATGCTGTGATTTGTAATTGTGTAGCTCAGCTCATACATAGCATGGGTGCCCAGCATGTACGCAGCCGAAGGTTTGATCCTCAGCATTGGGTAAATCCAGTGTGATGGTGCCTGTAATCCCAGCCCTGGAGACGTGGAAGCAGGGGGATTAGATGCTGAAGGTCATTGACTACATGGTGAGCTGGAGGACAGCGTGGGCCACGGGAGATCTTGTCTGAGAAAAGAGAATCTGAAGCCTGGAGAGCTAGATTGGCGGTTTAGAGCGCACTGCCCTCCCAAGTTCAGTTTTCCCACCCGCTTTGGGCAGTTCACACCCACCGGTAACTCCAACTCCAGGGGAATCAGACACCTCTGGCTTCTGGGGGTGCCCGTCCTCATATGTGCACATATCCACACATAAACCCACATAATCTACACAGTATTTTTAATTAAATTAAAGGCCAGAAAGATGGCTCAGTAGGTAAAAATGCTTGCTGTGGGAGCCTGGTGACATGATGAGTAGACGGAGAGAACCCAACCCTATAAAGCTATCTTCTGATCTGACACATGGATCATGGTACAAGTGCACTCACACCCCACCGCATACACACACCACACACAGACACACACATGCACACAGACACATACACACACACACATGCATACACTCGCTTGGTAGACCAGACTTGGTCTCAAACTCACAGAGATCGCCTGCCTCTGCCTCCCAAGTGCTGGGATTAAAGAAGGCGTGGGCCACCACTGCCCTGCCTGTTTTTTTTTTTAATTTAAGTAAAATCTTCAAGAGAAACGAAAGAGCCAGAGAGCTAGGCATAGTTATGCACACCTCTAATCCTGACACTCGGTGGGCGGAAGCGGGCGGATCTCTATGAGTCTGAGGCCAACCTAGTCTACATAGCATGCACCAGAACAGTCTAAGCTACATGGCGGGGGCCGTCTCAAACTTACAGGAACACAAGTGGGACAACAAAGTCCTCAAGCCTTCTCTGTTACAACGGGGCAGCTGCGGTACCTAGGAGCCACCTTCCACAGGAAGTGGCCCATCTGAGGAAGGCTTTAAAGGGCTCCTGTCTCCCCGGAAGAAAAGGCATGGCGTTGTGTGTTCCCCCAAAGAAACATCTCTGGTGGCGTAGGGGGGAGCAATGACCAAAAGCAGTGACAGTGCTTGAACTTGCCAGCGGAGGAGGAAAAGGCAGCCAATATCCGGTGCTCTTAGGCGGTATGGTCCTCACGACTGCCCCAACACCACACGCACCCCCTGTCCTTTCTGCTAAGGCCACACTCTGGAGAGAAGGTGCAGAGGGTCACAGCAGGCAGGAGGCAGCCTGTTCCCTATCTAAGCTGTCTTATCATCGGTCCCCTGCGATAGGGCCGGTTTCCAGGGCAGTCAGATTAAATCCCGCTCTTCCAGGGCCCGTTCTTTGGACGCATTTCTCCTTTGCACCCCTTTGGCCATTGCTCTCCTTTTGAAACTAAATTCCAGCAACCCGGAGGTTTTAATTACTTAACCAACAACTTACATCTTGGATGTCCGCCCCTCCTGTTGGTATTCACGCCTGTGTTTGTTTACCGTGTGTGGTCAGAGCTGCCTGTCACCAAAAAGGGCCAGCGCTTGGTTAACGCCACCCAGAGGATAAGTTTGCCACTTGAGCTCCACACGGGAAAACCGTCAAGGTGTCCGAACGCTGCCACACGAGAGGCCCCGGGTGTCTCTCTCCACACACCCTGTGCGTGCCCCTTATGCCGGAGATGCAAACAAGGAGTTGTGAGAAAAGAAAGGCCCACACCGCAAGGGTGTGTGTGTGCACCAGATCTGAGAAGGGCTGGGAAGGGGGTAGAGCCTTGGAGCCCACGGAGCCAACACCGACACCCCCCCAGCCCACCTAAGCAGCGGTTAGCACTCCTACCGTACAGAAACGTAACCCCGTGCTCCTGCCTTGTTTTCAGATGACCACTCCAGGATTCTGCTGAAGCCTCAGAACAGCCACAGTAACTCGGACTACATCAACGCCAGCCCCATCGTAAGTACACGATCACCGGGCAGGGGGGTGGGGTGGGGGGGCGGGGACTCGGGGCTGTTTCTTTCACTCCTTGTGACGTCACATTCATCACATTCCATTAGTGGCACGTCCTTAGGCAGAGGGCGGGTGGGTGCGCTTGTTTCCAACCCCAGACAAAGTGGCTGGAAACAGAAAGGCTGGAGGCCAGTGAGAGCTGACTGAGAAGGTGTGTGGGGCGGGGTCGGGGCGGGGCCGGAAAGTTGGGTATCAGAGGCTGGGCTGGCTTCTACTCTGCACTGGGGAGCGATGCTGTAGTTGGAAGAAAAGAGGCCAGCCGGTGCTGAGTCACAGACCACGGTTGGAGGCACCCTAATGGACGCAGAGGGTTTCACCATGTAGATCTGGGACCCATGTAGTGTTCGCCACATGGGCAGTGTCCCTCGGTCGCACTTAGGAAAAGTATCAGGAACCTCGCTTCAGTTCCAGAGTTTGCATTGGTCGAGCAGGGCCTGCATCACACAGCGCTTTCTGATGAGGTCCCCACAGCACCAAGGCCGGAGAGTACAGGCTACAAACCTGGATCGTCATGTCCTAGGCTCCTTCAAATCCTCTGTGAGAATGTGTTCAGCGTAGGGCTTTGCGCAGACTGTTAGGAGATATCACCATCCCTGTTGGGTGAAAACTTAAGACTCCAGCAATGTGTAGCCTATCCCATTTCCCGACACCTCATGTCCCACACAGTGAGTGTGAGCCTCTGTGAGACGTGACCTGGCTGAAGAACTGGGCCTTTCTCTATACTGCCCGAGACCAGACCACTACACGCATGCACACACATTTACATACTTATACTCTCGTGCATCACTGGGGGGGGGTGGCTTCTTTACCTCGGCAGGAGTGGACTTTTGAGGCCATGGCTCACCCGTCTTCGCGGTTCTCATTTAGGGCTGCTCAACCCATCTTTCTGGGTAGGACTCGTTTAAGCTCCAGCCCGAGCCCTGCTAGCTGACTCCCTTCTGAGCAAGCGCTCAGGCGCAGGCTCTACCTGATGGAAGACTGACAGGTGACACCCGCTCAAACCCACCTGAAGCAGTTTTCCTCTTGTCCTCATCCCTCCTCCTTCCTAAAAGAACTGGGTGAGAAAGCCAGAGCAGAAGTAGCAGTCATTTCCAAGTCCGAACATCAAGAGCACATTCCCCCGGCACACCCGTCTACGGTTCAGGCCGAAGCCCTGCCTCAGTGTGGGTTTGTGTGGCTCGCAGGCACACCACCCACAGGCCAAGGGTCACAGGGGATTCTTTAGCGGTGACAGCAAAGTCCCATGAGCTCATGTTGAGTGTGACTTCCCAGCTTCAGGTCGGAAGGGTCAGTTGGAACTAGTAACTTTTGTTTTCTCTTTGCTTCATATTATAATTCTTTTTTTCTACTAAATTTGGATCATAAGAAAGAGCCAGAAGAAACTCATTGGGCCATCTCTCCGAGATAACTGGGGAAACCCTGATAATGACCCTCATAGCAGCCACTGAATGAGCTTACAATTACAACCCAGACAGCTCTGGCTGTGCCACACAAAACTATGACAATTACGTCTGTGCCCAGTCCTCATTAAATTTCAGGGAAGCTCATCCAGTAGTAAACAAGGAGCAGTTTCAAATCAGGGTCGTGAGAGCAAATGGGGATTCTGCCATCCCACATAGCACTTGTGAGAGAGAAGCCACCACTCACTCTAAGCTCAGGGCTAGGCTACTCTGGAGGCCTCCAGACTGAGTGTGGCCACCCACTCGGCAAGTAAGTGCTCAGATTCCTAACGCCACCAGGAAACAAGCTCGGTTGTTCACCCTACTGTGTCAGTGCGACAGGAGGAAAATGAATGTTTCAGTTTGAATGCTTGCAACTAGTTTAAGTCAGGATGGGTGGAGCCTAAGGAATGGATGACAGCTGTCTTAAGAAACTGGCCAAGTGGGGGGGGGGACGGTTTGTGGGCTCTCAGAAAATATTCAGGCAAACATCTGTGCCTATGAGTTTGGTGTTGCATCAGTGTTAAATAAATATCTACTCAGAGTGGGAAAGTGCCATAAGCAGTGTCTCTTGGTTCCAAAGCTCTAGTACCCAGGATCACCCCATGCGAAGAGTAGGCATCTGCACAAGAGTCCCGTTAGCTTTTAAGAAAGCATGCTGGCTATGCATGCTGACACAGGCCTTTAATCCCAGCACTCGGGAGGTAGAGGCAGACAGATCACTGAGTGTGAGGCTTTCCTGGTCTACACAGAATTCCAACACAGTCAGGGTTACCCAGAGAATACCTGCCTTGAAAAACCAAGAAGGTGAAGAAAGGAGGAGGAGGAGGAGGAGGAGGAGAAGGAGAAGGAGAAGAAGAAGTAAAGAAGAAGAAGAAGAAGAAGAAGAAGAAGAAGAAGAAGAAGAAGAAGAAGAAGAAGAAGAAGAAGAAGAAGAAGAAGAAGAAATTTGGCACATGTTGTCAGGGGTGTAGGGGACACAGGAGCACCAGAGTAAACACAGTCACTCTGAATAGCTCCAACCCTCAGGACACTGTGCCCTCCCCTAAGCTGGCCATTTGGGGCTAGAGCCTGGGGCAGACAGGTCTAGTCTGGAGTAGACACTTCCTCACTAGCACCTGCAGTGCTTCCTCCCTCCTCCCTCCTCCCTCCTCCCTCCTCTCCCTTGTACTCCCCTTCCCCCTCCGAAGTTCTTCAGGGCTTCTGAGTTGGACTGCTGGATACTCTGTTTTTAAAGTCAATTTTGTTGAGAGCATTGCTGAGGACTTTAGTGTGAAAATCATTAAACAGTTGCCACCCGTGTTTAAGAGAAAGACACCATCTTTGTTCTTCAAGTCGGGCATTTGGAAACACATGGACTTTCACCCCGTGTTATGACAACACCCCGAGGGCCAGCCCAGCAAGGGCTTGATTCAGCACAGGCAAGTGGCTTTTCCTTTTTATAGCACCCTACAAACAGAACTCTTGGACTCAGTGTACTTGGGTCCTAGTGCCGTCTGACCTTCCTTAAAGTCACTAGAATGAGTCTCCTTGGGTTACCTGTTATGCTCATCCCTCCAAGCAGTCCGGGTCCCCGAGGAAGCCCCCATTAGGGAGACGGTGTTGTCGAGGCCACTGCCCTGCCAGTTTCTTAGACGACCACTGGCAGCTAAATGGCATGTGCACGGCAGCAACACTGGGGACCCCACAGAGAAAGTGCTGGTGTGTCCACAAAACTGCCAGCCCTCAGAGCACGGTGTCTGCCTCAATGAACTGCAAGTGTTTACCGATGCACTCAGGCCAGCTGCTTGGACGTGTGTGCGCCCTAATGCCCACAGAGTTCCAGCTGATGACATGTACTTACCTGCCACAGTACATGCGTACCCACACCCCCAGCTCTGTAGCACACAATAGGACTGACCCCCCAGGGCCCCAGAGACTGCGTATAGCTGGCAGCTTGTGTATGGGAGCATAACACTGTTCAGATGGAATCTACAAGGAGAAGCAGAAAGAAAACGATGTGAAGGAAAGAAGAAGACATTAGCCATGAAGGGGAGAGGACGCCGGAGTGAGTGGACACTGCCTCAGCTGCCCCTCAGGCAGGTCTGTCCTCAGACTCCCCTACTAAGAAAAGTCTCTTTATAGAAACTCGTCACCCTCCTCCAAACAGTTACCTGGCCTTGAAATCTCACATGTGGTAAAAACATCTGTGTCAAGCTGAATGTTTGCCTTGCTCCTACTCGAAGACTGAGTCTCACTATGGCGGGGGTCCCGCTGCCGCACACTGGTGGGTCTAAAGTGTTTGGCACAGTCACTCCCTGAAAAGGCAGCATGACCTACGCATCACCGTCTCCCTGCCCTGTGTCTGCTGCCGCTGGCCACATCTTCTCCTGGATGCTGCCCTTGGCTTTCTTTATCTCCATCCAGTGTCTGAACGAGCTCGATGGGGTTAGAGAATGTTTCTTTAACGACAATTCAAACCTATCACAAAAGTGGACACATTTGCCCTCCTGAAACACTTGCCATTTATTTTTTTTCCTTTTAATCTTGTATCTCTCATTCTGGAAACAATTTAATTGGTAGTTTGACCACGTCCCAAATGTTAAATGTGCTATAGTCTACGTTGTTATGGGCAAAAGAAATCACAGCCCAGAAGCAGGCGGGGTACCCCTTCCTCTGCCTGGGCTGTTTTCAGGAGAGACGGGGGTCTCTGTAAATAACTGTCACCCCCAGCAAAGGCACATTTTGAAAAATCAAAACTCCTCATTTCTGCTAAGCGTTTTTTTTTCCTGCTGAAACATCTTAATTGGGGCTTTCAGAGAGAGACAAACATAATTTCACCTGTATTGTGTGTGCCGTGCATCTCAAAACGAGGTCCAGTTTTAATTACGAATCATGAAATTATGTGCACAGAAAGCTTTTCCCCTGCCCCCACCCTGGCCTTCATCCCATCCTTGTTCTGTCGGAATAACTTGCAGCAGCTGCTTTGTGCTCTCGCCCCCTTTTGTGGCTCACGTAATTACAAGGCGCATCCAGCACCTTTCTGAGCTGACAACCGTCATCCCTACGAGTGCTCACAAGCTGTGCATGGGCTCATGGGAGGTGCTGGAGACTCCTCCCCGAGCCTCCACACGGAGCATATGGTGAAAACTTTTTCCCCTTTATTGTTGTGCTGAGAAATGAATTGTCAACAGTTATTTTTAAATGCAGGGACCTCCCCCCTTCATGTAGTGTCGTGTGCGTGCGTGCATGAGATTGAGAGAGAGAGAGAGAGGAGGGAGAGAGAGATGGTATTCAAATTTAGGGTCTTACACATGCTAGACAAGTGCTCTACCACTGAGATACAGCCTCCCTCCACATTCTACATCTCTAAATCAAACACAAAACTCAAAGGGTTGGATGCTATCTTTGGACTTGGCAAGGACAGGGTGGGTCTGACTGGGTAGCTATCTTAACCAGTTTCTACGCCCCCCCATGCAATGTCCCAGTCTCCTCCCCTAATGCTGGTCTCTGGGGTTCCTTGAAAAAGGGCAGAACTGCTCTGTAATTTGGGGAGAGTAATGCCCAGGGTCCCTGTTGCTTACAGAGCAGCCAAAGACTACCCTGCAGGAGGCCCATGAATCTGGCTTCTTCCTGGTGCACCTCACAATATTTGCCCTTGTGTTCATTTTCTCCCCCCTCCTCCCGCCCCGTACAGTCAGTCTTCAAGTTAACCATTGCAAGTAAGGTCCATGACGCTGGACTTCCACTATGGGAGCACTAAGCGAGGCCCATGTCTACAAACCAAGGAGCTTTAACCAGGCTCTTTGTTCTTGGTCTCTCACAGTCAGGGAAGGGAGGAGATGGAAGCGAACATCTAGAAGGCTGGCCCATGTCTGTGAAACACCTGTGATCGAGCACATGGAGATACGCACGGATGGAATGCACACAGAGAGACACATAGACATGCTGACACAGACACAGACATGAAGACCACATACAGATACACGTACAAAGACATGCATAATACAGACACACAGACAATATACGCACACATACACACGCACACACAGACACATTAGACACAAACATGCAGACAGACACATACCCACCCATAGGCATATAGATGCATATTTACACACAAGCGTGCAGTCACACGCACACTTATAGGCACCCACACACAGATGATCACACACATGCAGACATACACTGAAACAAGGCCAGTGATCCCAGACCAGGTGGCTGTCTGCATGTGCCCCTCCCAAGGTGAACGAAACACCCAATATGAATGAGCTCCTTGGCCAGTCATTTCTTCTTGTTGCTCACCCTTTCAAGTCTCACAAACTTGCCTACGGCGCGTGCGCGTGGGCATGGGCTTCCCTGCTCAGGTCTACACACTGTCTACTAAACCCCAGCCCCGGCAGGCTTCCACATGCCCTGGAGCGGGCAGAAGTTGCTTCCCCACTCCAACCAGAGATGCCCATACACCAGGCGCAGTCTCTGTTCTGCCTGTTTCCTGGGGTTCATTTGTGTGCACCTCTGGGGAACACGGCAGCGGGGCTTGAAGGGCTCGACCAACTGGAGGGTCCCTGGGTTTGGTGCCTTTGTTTTCGTCTGAGGGTGATGGGTCTTGCCACGCAGGCCTTGCTTGTGAAAAGCCCTGGGCGGGAGCTGTGCTACCCTGCATTGTGACGTCTTCCTGCCTGTGCGACTGACCCTTATGCCCTCTCTCTTGCTCCTGCAGATGGACCATGACCCACGAAACCCTGCGTACATTGCCACCCAGGGCCCACTTCCCGCCACCGTGGCTGACTTCTGGCAGGTGAACCTTTTCTCATTGATTATCTTTTCCTAAAGATAACATTTCAACGAGTTGTCCATAAATTGACACAGTCGGATCCAGCAAAAGACACAATGCAGCCCTGTTTGCCGTGCTTTTCAGGTACTAACAGAGGTTACAGGAATCCTTTGTTGTCTCACCTGAGATGTTTTGCGTTTTTAAACATTTTTATTCCTTAGCCATGTTGTAATTTAACTGTGCCAAAGGTAAGGGAAGTTAATACACATTCACAGAATATTTCCTTTAAATGTGCCTTTTATCTCTTGTCTTATTGTTATGAAGCTGAAAAAATGTGTCTAAAATGTAGCTTATCTTCTTTGAGGATTTTTAATTGTATATTTTAAAGGCCATCCTGGTCTCTCCATCCACCACAGTCCTGCACCTCCCAGAACAAGACTGAGACTTGGGAACTAGTTCTTACGTGCACGGATGAGGGCAGAGTGAGCCAACAGAGTGCCCATCCCTGACCAGGATAAATCAGACTAGGTTTAAGGGGGACATAGTAGGTCTTGGACTGTGTTTGGGGATGTGGCGTGGCAGATCACCCACTGGAATACAGGGTATAACCCAGCAGCAGGTTATACCCTCAGGCCATGTGTCAGGCCACAGAGCTCCTGGAACAGGGGGGGGCGGGGGGAAGAGGGGATCAGCTGTGCTGGGTGTGGTACAGGAGGGGGGAGGAGGCGTGCCCACTGCTGTGTAAACAATGGAGCTGAAACAATGTGTTTACCTGAGACCAAATTACTCTGGATGCAACAGTGTGTCCAAATTACTCTGGATCTCTTGATACTGTTTATATATATATGTATATGTATATATATATATGTTTATTAATTCACAAAGGATAGACTAGTTTGCCAAAGGTCAGTAAAGCAACCACCATTCCAGACTTCTGCCATTCCCTTTCCCAACTACTCCACGGAAAAAGGAAATGCAAAGGAAGAGGTCAGGATCCCTGCAGCCACTCAGGGCCCTTTTGCTCCCACACACCCACTGAAGCTCAAATCTGCTTAGCGGGTGCAAGACTTGCCAGCCAGAAGGGGTAAGGCTGAGCATGGTGCACGCCCAGGTGGAGCACGCCCAGGTGTCTGCCTGCTCCTTTCATCTGCCTTCGCTCACGCCACTGGGAAAAGTGAAATGAAACTGGACCGCAGAGCCGCCCCGTGGATGCTCTTATCCGTGGCACAGCACTAGCGGCCTTTGCTATAAGGCTGGTGTTGAGCTCATCGCGGTCCCTCAGCTCAGAGAATACTCAGGTCCCCTCCGTGTTAAACCCGCAAGAGTTGTCCAGACCAAAAGTAAAACCATCCAATCACAAGGAACTTGGGAAGACTCTTCACGTGGAACCCCCCCCCCCCCGACCCAACACTTAACACCTTCTTGAAGTAACCATCTAAGTTTCTCTCAGGATTAAAAAAAACCACCTGGCCCACAGAAATGGAGCTCAATTTTTAGGAATAAAACTCCTTGTGCAGCACAGACTGTGGGCATCAGACCACAAGCTGAAGGTGACATCTCTCCTACACCTCTGTGTTGTTGCAAGCTTAGCTTTCAACGGGAACAAGTTTATAACCGAAGAACTAGAGACATTGTTACAAAATATTGCAATGTAAAGCTTATCCTCAAGAAAGCCTGGCTTGGTGGGGGTGGGGGTTGGAGCAGTGCTGACCCAAGGGGCTCCAAGGCATGGCTTAAAGGATGCCCTTGTTAGGCACCAGTAAACTTCCATGTCAAAGGCTGGGTTGAACAACCAAGAAAGGACCATGGCTACAAAACTGTCCTATAACTATGTCACTCCACACAGTGAGCCAGTGGCAAACACAGCCGGACTCACTGTCAGCCCAGATGACCAGATGTCCCGGGCCATAGGACCATAAGGACTGGATCCCTGTGCCTGTACTGAGGGAGACTCTGCTTGGGCCTCTCCTGCTTAGGCATCACGACCATTTGCAGCCTCTGTCTCCGGTTCCGTGACCTCATGGGCTTCCCCCCTTCCTGTTCAGATTCCTCTCCTGCAACAAACCCCAAGCAATGGCCTGGCGTCCTGACCACTGTGACTTCATCTTAACTTGAATTCCTGATCCCCCTGCCTCCACCTCCCCAATGCTGGAATTACGGGCCATGTATCACCATACCTGGCACAGAAGCCGTTTCCAAGGGGGTCTGGCTGGACTCAAGGGCACCATCTATCCTCCAAGAGTCTCTGAACAGCTCACCGTCTGCAACCTCACATACTGCTGCCTACTTCTGCGTCCATGCTGTATGCACAGTGCATGCTTGATAAATTGCGCTGTTTGGGGAAAATGATGAAAAGACTAATCTGGATGTCTGCAGGACAGGCACAAGGGTTTTTTGTTTTGTTTTGTAATGTTTTAAATATTTTCATTCTGCGGCCAGTCAGGTCCATACGTGAGGAGCCCACAGCAGAGAGGGTGGACCACTGACTGCTGCCTGAGAGCTGAGAAGCCTCGTGTTAACCCTTTTCCCACAAACTTCCTTCTCAGGAGACAGCATAAGGGTTCAGCAATGGAGTCTTCTCGAAGGGTTGACCACGTTTGAGATAAGACAGACTTTAGACTTGTAGCGACTGCCCCCCTGTAGTATCAGTGTTTGGGAGGCTGAGGAAGGAAGATGGCAATCAAGGCCAGCCTGGGCTGCAAAACCAAAATGAGAAAAATTACATATCTCATTTATGTATTATTTATTTATTTATTTATTTATGGTTTTCTGAGACAGGGTCTCTTTGTGTAACCTTGACTGTCCTGGAACTCACTTTGTAGACCAGGCTGGCCTCAGACTCAGAGATCTGCCTGCCTCCGCCTGCTGAGCGATGATGGGACTAAAGGCGTGCACCGCCACCACCACCGCCCAGCATGAAAAGTAAAAAGCATTTTAAAGGGAAAACACCCAGCTTGTGAAGTGGGTCCGTTTGGTGGCGAGCAGGAAATAACCAGGTTTTCTCTCTCACACGTTGCTCCGTGTTGCTCACACCGTGTCTGGAGTTCCGTGTCTGCTTCTGGGACCCATATAGTTCAGACAGCTGAGGAACAGAACTAGAGCCTACCAGGGAATTCATGGGAGCATCCAGCATGGCAAAGAGCTCCGAAGCCACAGAAGGACAGGGAAACTACCCAGGAGAAGGACAGGAGAGGGGTCGCTAGCAGTCATGAGGTGTCACAACATCACTGCTGATGCCTGGAGGAGTACTGCAGGTGGCCTGCCGGTCTATCTAATGTGGGACTCTGCTCCTTCGCTTGGAAGGGCTGTTCACGCACCGGTGGATTTTTAAAGTCTTGAGTGCTCGTTTGGACTTGTGAGGTTTTGCTGTTTTATTGAGGCCTTCTGAAATAATCGCTGCGACAGCATCATTCCTCGTGTCCCTGCCTGGGATACTCACAGGTTCCCTCAGTGGTATGTGCCAACAGCTCCTTCGAGAGGGTAGATATCTGAAAAGGAGGGAAAGACAGGACCAGCTGTCCTGTGTGCTTTGAAGACTGTGCCTGGGACATACGGTTCCCAAGATCTTTCTCTAGAAGCTTCAGTGTGCAAGGTGCCTTCTGCTTACCCGCTGGGTCGTGTGGAGTGGAAGGGGGTTTCACATGTCAGGGGCAAGAGCGACGGAGGAAAGTAACATTCAATGTTCCGTCTCTCGTGTGTGAGACCCTTCACAGGCACCTGGTCTCATTTGACCACCTAACTACCCTATGGGGATGTACACAAGCCTCATGAAACATTGCCTGGGACACCAAGAGTGGTCATCGTCACATTTAGGAAGCAGAGCCATAGGTTCCCACATTCCTGGGGAGAGAAGACTCATTGTTGAGTGGGGACGGTGCTTTAGCTTGGGTGGGTGGGAAATTATGGAGACAGTTGGTAGGGGATGACTGCCCAACAGCACAGATGAGTGTCTTGCCTCTGAGCCGAGCACTGAGAAACGGTAAATTGTACATTACGCACACCTCACTATAGTTTGCAGCCATATTTCGTGAGTCTGGTTCTATCAAGGAGAAGCAGAGGCTCTGAAGCCATGCAGGACCTGTCACAAGCTTGCTAGGACAGATCCCGTTCTGAATCCAGATCCAGGTGACTCCTACGTATGTTTTTTTTAAACCATGTTTCTTGCAAGTGCAAAGTTCCCAGGGGTGGGACAGATGTTCTTGGTGAACACCTCTCCAAGAAAAAAAGGGAAACACAGAGGTCTTAACCATGCTGACTTCTGGCATCAGAAGTTTCAGAGACGGTAATTAGTTCCATTGCACAGGCAGGGAGAGGCACATTCTTCACGTGTTTAAGAGAAGCTGAAGGATGTAGAGGATGTGGGTCTCCACAAATACGGAGCAGCCCTGCCGGGCAGGGTGTCCCCACACCTACTGGATGACCACAATGGTATAGGATGGAATACATGGACAGAGACCCCCCATACACGCTCACTAGAGAAATGAGAAAGGCTGTAGATAGACCATCCATGCAAGTATCCAGCCAGTTCTCACCGCCGACCACTGGCGTCTGGTGCACCTTGCGGTTGTCCTCCTCGGCCCACCCTGAGTGCCTGTCTCTGAAGGCTACAGTTATAAGACAAACCTGAGCAAAGAACCACGACGGAGGAAAAGGGGTGGCAGGGCGTCTTCGTGCGTGTGCAGGTGAACTGGAAACCTAGGGATTGCAGGGGTGTGGCAGAGTCCCGACCCCCCGAGCGTATATGACGCCCACAGCCCAGGCTGGCGTTTGCTGCCTGGCCATCGGCCTCAGCACCACCTTCATAATGTGCCAGGCTACACCTTGTTGTGCCCAATGCCACCAAGAGTCAAACCTTCAGTCTTCCAGACGCAATCCCGGCATACCTCAGCGATGGTCCCTTGCCAGCTAATTCAAAACATTTCAGCCTCTGGGTGTTAAGAGGGACGGTCTCTCAGATGACGCCATGCAGATTCATCCCAATGGCACAACACCTCCAGGACCTGTGCACATATAAGTTTTGTCCT